TATAATCAGCCGAAACCATCCAATTCACTATCACACCATGGAATTGTGATTTGAATGCGCGCAATTATCGATCGAAATCAGGCAATCTGATGCGACGGATTCAAATTGAAGCGGGTCTTGCGGGGAAAGCTTGTATTGATCTTCTTGCGCCTGCGGCGTCGCGTCGTTACCTTTTTGAGTCGTGTTGTCCTCAAAGTAGTGCGTTCGTCATGTCGTCTTCAGAAGTTGCTGAACAACTCCAGGAGGCTGTTTCGCCCGTGAAATCGGTTGAAGTCAAGGTCTGTGAAGTCGTCAGTTGTGGGAGGTCAGCAGGGTGGAGGTGTGGGATGTGACAGCATTGCCTACACACCTTGAAATAGATAAACAATGGACCTTTTTCGGGGTGTAAGTGTGCAGTCAAGGTTCGAAAGCTACTTTTAGTTCGTTATTTCAGGAAGTGGATCCACCGAGCCCAAGAAAGAGGAAGTTGGAAGACGAAGAGGCCGAGGATGTGACCCCCAAGAAAATTCGTGAAGTCTGAGTCCGCTGAGCCCGAGGATACAAAAGCAGCAGATGAAAACAAAGAGGAAAGCCCTGTAAAAGCTGGTGGAAAGGAGGCGCAGGAAGACGCTGTCGATGTGGAAACAGTGGAACAGGAACCAGAAAAAGCTGCCAAAGACGACGGTCAATCCGCTGAAGAAAAGTTGGCTGAAGAAAGTCGACCAGTAGAAGCAAGTGTTCAAGATGAATGCGTTGAGACTACTGATGAGGACAAATCGGACAGTAAGTTCTTTTTCCCGCTTTTGGAGGTGGTGGTCGTCAGCTGGTGGATGTTTGCTTTCAGACAAGGAGACAAACGAGCCCGAATCGAAGGACCTTGACGAGCGTGAATCAGAGGCTGAAGTTGTTGCATGAACTCGCACCTAGATCGTAACTTGTATTACTATTATTATGTTTGCCAGTTTGCTGTACATGTCTTGTGCTGTAGTTGTCACTCCATGTGAATAAATGTTGCGTAGCTCGCTCTTACGTGCTATCTGTAGTGTGGCTGCTGCCTACTCAGTGCCTACTCCTAGTGTGAAAGCGTGAAGTGTATGAACTCTTGTGTTTTTTTTAAAGGATAGTTGGCTGAAGCAAAGGATTTCTACAAAGGAATAGGGAAGAGTGAGGAAAGATTAGTAAGGGATGAATGTCGTTTTTGAGTTCCTCGATAGCACGGTGGTGCGTTGTGCATGGGAGTGTAAGAAGTACATGACTTTTGAGGTTTACGGACAGCTGTGCCGTCCTGGGAGCAAATAGGAAAAGTCCCATCTTTGGACAATCATGAGTAGTGCCTTCTATGCCACCGGGACGTATGTTTGACAATAAGCTAGATAAAGAGACAGGAAAATTGTGTTCTGAAAATACTGGAGTGAAGAGAATGGGGCTACTTCCTAATCTGTTCATGCGACACTTGTAGTTCCTAAGAAGTGTGGTGCTACGGTTGCTTCATACTTTCCTACGGGAAAGTAGGAGGATCGGCTATTCGACGTTCTGGAGACTTCCCGCCAGGGGACGAAATGTGGATGTCGTTTGGCGACTTGAGAGACTGGGGAGGTGACGGTCCCACGTTCTGCAAGGCCTGTTCACTCCGTAAGACAGCGTTCAGACTTTGCGACGGTGGCGCTTTGGTCGCGCGTTCGAGCGATCGATGCAGTTGAAAACATGCGCACTGAAAGCCTCCAAAGCGCG